AATCCCGTATGAGACACAATCCATTCACGTACGAATCACATTGATTCATAGTACTAGATTTCAACTGTAGTCTGCCTTCTGCCCATAACCCGATCAGGAAACCGTTAGATAGTCGCCATTTTTCAAATGTTTCAACAATCCTACTCGGAGAGGTGATGACGTCATGATCCTCTCATTTCTCTCTCTCCAAAGCGCTTAACTTCGAGTAGAGTGATTTTTTGTAGTTTAATTAGAAAAATGTTAATGAAATTTATCGTATAATATCATTTAAATCAAGACATTACAAGAAGAAAAGTGTCTTGCTGTCGGACAATATTCGGCTAACTTAATTTGTTTACAGCCATAAACTTAACTTGATTACAGCCATTCAGTGGCTGGATTATAGTTCACCGGTAGGTGCTGGCGATTAGCACCATACCAATGGCGATTCAGCACTGGGTCCTTGTTTCAATAAATATCGCCCCTATCAATAACAGGTGTGCACATTAACCGTTCTTAGATACTGATATTTTAACACAAACTTGCCGTTTATTCTGCTAGGTGTTTAGGTGACGAGTTAAACACAAGATGGGTGAATCGGGAAAGCATGAAACCACTGAAACAGTTGATTCTGTGATAAACAGAATAGGAAAGTCGCCCAATTTCCTAATGTTTGTTGTTGCCACGTGCGCAATGTCATGTTCGTATGTGGGCACGTTTTTCGCCTTCATGGTTCAGTTTACCGGCTTCATTCCTAATGAGGAATACAGGTGTATTTCTCAGAAGTGCCAAACTCTGAAAAGCAATTTCACGTCGGAATTGAATGAAGGTAAGTTTTTCTTTTTTCAAATTTTTAACCCACTATGCATTTAACTTTGAAGCTTTAACTTTAAGTCTGTTTAATGTCGTGAATGCTTGGCTTACTTATATCGGTAATATGTGTGCGGTAATGTTCGTTTTATTAATTATTTTAATTTCATTCCGATTGAATACAATTTCAGGGATGATAAACCTATTTAAACCGTGTTTACATTTTCAGTTGATAGTAAATTCTATGATATAGCGACCATCTGTGACAATGCTATGATTTACGGAGCAGATTTCAAATGGGATATTTCTCGGACAACCTTTGCGATTGATTTCGACAAAATCTGCAAGCCAAGCGAATTGAGCCTTCTTAACTCACTTTATTTTGTTGGAGGATCTATAAGTCTGCTTTGTGGTAAAAAACCTGATTTGAATATGTTTTGAGCCTGCGATGATATACGCTCGCGTTTTTATTTTGTTGTTACTTGTTCAACCTTATTCTTGATTCTTGAAGGGCCCTTAAAGTTAACAGCTATCAAAAATATTTTTTAAATTAGCAAAAAATTTTAAAAGAAAAACTTTTCGGGGAACGGGGGGCATTTGAACCTTGGGAAGAAGGAAAACGCAGTCCTAGGGGGTTTTTTTTTGGGCAATCTCCCTTTAAGGGAACTTTTTCCCTAGCAAAAAATTTTCATGACCCAAACCCCTCTTCTGCATTTTATTGTAAATAAAGGGCCGAAATAATTGTATCAAGATAAAAATTTAATTTTTTTTTATTTTAAAAGAAAAAAGGACAAATTTTAAACCCCAGGGACTCAAAAATTTGAGAAAAATTTAGTAACCAAACCAAAAAACCCCCCCTCGGGGTTTGGTAATTTTTTTCCCCTTTTCGGAAGAAATTGGGTTTTTAGATTCTTTTCCTGAACATAACCACCCTTAAAACCGGGTCCATGTTGATCTGGTTATGGTTCCCCCCCTTCTGGTTTGGCACAAGCTTCTTATCCAAAACGGAAAACAAAAAATCTTTTTTGAAAATCTTACCCGTTGCAAACACCTAAACCCCGGATTTCTGCCCCTGTTTCCCCAAAGGTAAAAAAATTAAAGAAAACCGACCTTTTGGGGAAAATACAAAGGGAAAAAATTTCGAAAAATTGGTGATACGAGAGCAAACATCGGGAAAAAACCAAAATCGGAACTAAATCTTTTTGCAAGCCCAATTTGAAAATTTTTAAAGCCTTGCTATCCCTTAACCCGGGTTTTTTTCGCTTGTTTCCCCATTAAAATTTTAAAAACCGATTTTTTGGGTCAAAATTCAATTAGGGATTTTTCGAAAAATGGGGTTCCCCAGTCCGATCAAACGGGAAAAATTTGGGTTTTGGGGACGAATTAAATTTGGTTTAAACCCATTTCCAAACCAAAACCTAAATTTAACTTTTTAAGCCCCTAACCCTTTAATAAATTCCTAGCCTAAACCCCGGTTTTTTTCGTCCCAAATTCACCTAAAGACATGGGAAAAATGAAAAGCAAACAAAAAAGGGGAAATTTCGGGAATTTTGGAGTAAAGGATCGATCGGGATAAAAAAAAATTTTTGGACAATGTGCCCTTTTTTAAAAAGTTAAAGGGTTTGGAAATTTGGAAGGAGGGGTTTTAAAAAAAGCGACCCATCCCAAAAGCCAAATCGGCGATTTCAAGAAAACAGGTTGGGAACCCCGGAAAAGGCCCCCAAAGCAAAGAAAAGTTTTCCAATTAGGCCAACCTCCCAAAAAATTTGACGTTTAAACCCTTGATCGTGGGGGAAAAATAAAAAAAAGTGGGGGAAAACAACAAAAGCCCGGTCCAGAAAAATCCCATCCTGGGAAAAAAAAAAAACCAGAAAAAAAATGTCAAACAAAGAGAAATCCGAGCAGCTTTTGGGAAAATTTAAAAAAATAAAAAAATAACACCCAAATTGGGACATGGCCCCTTTCCCAAATGCTAACCTAACCTGAAAAATTCTTTTTAGAAACCCGGGACATTTTAAAAAAGCGAATTCCGGGACTTTAAAAAAACAGTGGTATAGGGTTCCCATTTGTTTTTTTTTATTCAAAACCTTAAACTAGGCGGGTGCGGGGTGCACTCCTTAAATTTTAACTCCCTTTTGGGCCCAGGAAAAAAAATTATAAACCAGAAAAACATTTTTGTAATCCCGGTAATCACCTTTTATTCCCCCTTGTTCGACTTGAAAAAAAAAAAACCTAAAAATCTCTTGTTTCCCCTTTAAAAAATCCCCTTGTAATCACCTTTTAACACCAAAACCTAAAAACCTTTAATCCCCCTTTAATCCCAAATCCCCCCAAGTAATCCCTTTGAAAAAACCCCCCTTGTAAATCCCTTTATAAACACCAGATACACCTTCTAACATTCAAGCCTTCAGAAAAATTTTATTTTTTATTTAAAGGTTTTTAAATCCTGTATCCGTAAAAAAATTCTGACCTTTCATAAGTTTAAAAAATTTCGAATTATTTTTTTAGATAAATTTATGAGTCAAAAAAATTTAAAGGTTTTTAAAAAACCATCCCCATTAAAAATGTACCCCACGAGGGGCGGAAAAAATTATTATCTAGGGTTTTTGGGGGTTCAGTTATTTAAAATTTTTATTAACTTTTCAAAAACCCTTCTAATTTAAATAAATTTGATGATCCCACGTTATTTGCGGGTTGGGAGGGGCAATAGCATACTTCTCCATACCGATCATCATTTAAAAGGGCCCGGGGGAAAGGGGGAAGGGTTTTTCCGGGGAAAGAGTTGCCTGTTTCCGTTGGCATGATACCTGGCAGGGGTGGGGTTTGGGGAGTTTTTGAGGGGCTGTGGGGGGCCCTTTCCATTATTGGAGGCTGCTGCATTTGCTAAGAAAACCCTACCCCCAAATGATTTGGCTCCCAAAAACAAGAGGACGGTTCTCAGCTCCTGTACATTTTTCCCTCGAGGCGTGAGTAAAATAAAAAAGGGGTTTGTCGACCCGGGTTTTTTTCCCCGGGGTGATCATTTCATTTAAAAAAAATTTGTAAAAAAAAGGGGAAATGCCCAAAATTCGTAGTCTACTTTTTAAACGAAAAAAAAATAAACGGTTTTTTTTCAGCGGCTTCGTTGGAACCGTTTGGGTTGGAGAAAATTCGAGAGCAGTCCCGTAAAACTTGGGGTTAATGCAGAACTGGCGGGAACACCCCCTTATCTGCCCTCCTGCTCCTTAATTTTTTAAAACCGCATATAAGTTCAAATAGAATCCAAAAAAACTTTTTTAAGGTAAATTTTTAAATTTCAAAACTAAATAAACGTTAATTTTCCCTTTTAAAACCGAAAACCTCCCCAAAGGCCCCGAAAGTTCCCGTTTCCCGGAACAAACCAAAAAATGTGTCCGCAAGAGGAAAAAACGCAGTGATTTCCACATTTTTTTTTGGGAGAACTCTTCTTTGAATGAACGGTAGTTTCGCCTGTTTAATAAAAATTTCCCGGAAATTGATTTTTTTTTAAAAAGTATAAAAGAAAAATTACCGGGTTTAAATTTTAATATTCGAACTGATTTTTTTTTTAAATTTTCCCAAAAAAAATTTGGGTATTTTTAAAATATATCTAACAATGCATTCCCAGGGGGCTCGTGGAACTTTGCGGCTAAACATTTGCAGTGGCTGTTTTTTCTCGGAAGCGTGTAATATCTGTCAGTGACCAAATCTAAGACCCATCCAAAGACTGAGGAAAATCTGGGGATACCAGGTAGAACTGAAGTAAACGACTCAGATTAACAATAGTGACCTTTATAGAATAAACTTTATAATTTATAGAGACAGAGTAAACTTAATTTAGTAAAACTTCAAATTATCTGGGATCAGGACATATCGAACTTTAAGTTTATATAACTGCTATTTGATCTAGGAATAAATAAGGATTTGTTTTCTTTTTTTCTTTTAAGTTTTAAGTTGACTGTAGCTGCAATTTTCACTAGGGATGATTGAAGTCGGATGTTGATTGGACTTAAGCTTCATATTTGTTCGACCCTCTTACTAATTTTAAATATTTTCTAAAAATCTGTATTTTGAAACATGGCTTTGCACAGTCAAAAAAAATTTGTTTCGTTTCAAACAAAAAACCAAGGCGTGCCACCTCCTTATCACTAGCTGTTTATAACAACTAAAATAACAATTAATTAACAACATATTAGCAACTAAAAGTAACGTACGTGTTAGAGAGGGTAGTGAAGACTGTTCCACAGAAGACAGGGACCACGTCAATAGGGAATATCATTAGTTTGTAGGCTATGCTTGTCGGACAGTGTGGTACTGAGTAGGTGAAGAACGTCTGTAATAACCACCTGTAGAGAGGGAGGTTAGTTTCACTTTCTCTTTCTCTTTCACTTTCACTTTCACTTAGTTTCACTTTCACTTTCACTTAGTTTCACTTTCAAATCTTCCCTGTCACTTACTGTTATCATTATTCAACTGTAACTTTGATAAGGATAATGTCATAATCTATAAAACGCCCAATATAAATAAAGCTAAAATGTTTCTTCTCACTTGCAATTAACAAAATATCTGGCTCCAATCCACACAAAACCAAATGTCCAGCACGCAAAAGAAAGCCACCCGTCCCCAAATTTGGGGGAGCGGGGGTAATTTTTGGGGGTTTAGCAATGCTCCAGGCACGGATTGCGCTAAGAGTTGTGACCAGCATTATTGTGCACGTGTACCCGTACCACCACGTGTGTCCTGTAAACAGGGAGGTTAGTTTCACTTTCACTTTCATGTGGTTTCATTTTCACTTCTACGAGAGTATCGGTTATTCGGATAAAAGGGTTTTTAATGGTTGCCCGAATTGTTTATGGTTTTGACTGGGTTTTTTTTGAATTTTAAGGGGGAAATTTTTTTAAAATTTAGAATTTATTCCCAAACCAAAAAGAAATCCAAGAAAAAAATAGATTTCGAAACAAGAAAAAAATTATCCTCTTCCCTCAACCGACTAAAACTCGAAGATTGGGGTTTTGGGGGGTTTAAATTTAAAAATGGGGTTAGGAAAAGTTTTCCCCTATTTGAAAACAAATTGGGGTTTCGGCCCCAATTTAAATAGATTCCCCCGATAAAGATAAAAAGCCAACAGCAACAAACCCCCCAAAAACCCCAACCCGAGGGGAAAAAATTGCCATTTGAGTTTTTTCAAATTTGAATTAAAAAAAAGTCATTCTTTTATGGGAAACCCGGGGGTTTGGGCTGTGGGGTCTGTGGATATGTTTTCTTCATTGCGTGTTTTAAAGTCAAACAAAAACTTGCAGCAAATCAATGGGGAAAAACGATTTAAAACGAAAAAATTTTCCCGAAAAACGCCCGCGGGTGCTCCTGGGGTGGGTTCTTTGAAAAATTAAACAAAGAAGACAAACCCCCTTTCCCCCCAACGCCAGTAGCCCGCCCCTAAGGGGGAAATGTTTTTTAAAGGGATTTTCCGTGAACAGCTGGATCCGTCCCAATCGCAAGGTAGACAGAAAGGGGTGTGGTGGGTGGAATTTTTTCATTGGGGTCAAGGTTTTTTTGGAAACCCTGCAAAAAAAAAGTAACATTTGGTAACGTTTTAAAGTTTTGTTTAAAAGAATTTGTGTCGTTTTTCAGTTTTCCCCTAAACCCTTTGGGTTTTGTTTGTTTTGTTTTTATCACCCAACCCCAGCGTAATCCAAGTATTTCACGCCACGGACTTTAAAAGGATTTCTCTGGGGAAATTTTCCCAAACACAGGGAATTGGCCCATAGGGATTTGGGAAACTATGAAAGCTGGAATTTTCGTCCTCCCCTTTATTTGAACCAGGGGTTTTAACAAAAGCCCAAAAAGTTTTAAAGGGGCTTTTAAATTTCCTCAGCGACATAGTGAAAAAAATGGGCCGCCCTTGAACCGTGCCTCCGCCCCGCCAGAAAATAATCAGATGAAAACAAAAAAGGGGAAAAACGGGAAAAGAAGCGATAAACAGACCGGGAGGGCAGAACGTCCGGGCAGGAAAAAATGTATTTTAAAATGAAATTTAAAAGTTTGGGGAAAAAGTCGCAAGAAAAACCCCGCCCAGAACCCCCCCAAAAAATTGAAAAGCCGGAACGGAATGAGGGGAAAAATTAGAAAAAATCGGAAACTTTATTACCGGGGAAACTCCCGGATTTCCCCTTTTTTAGGTCAGGTTTTTTATGGGGCCGGCCGCTGTGGGCTTTTCCCGACGGGACATTATGAGATATGCAGGATTTGGGGGAAAAATTTCCCCCGGAAACGCACCCCCCCAAGCAAATTTCAAAGCTTTCCCCGAAGGGAATTTTTTCCCAAGGAAAAACCCCCAACCCTTTAAAAAAAAAGAAAAAATTTTTAAATCCGTTTTTTCTTTCCAAAGGGGAAGGACAAAGCGAAACAAGAAAATACCCCGTGGACTTGTCAAACCCCGCAAGAGAGACGGGGGGGAAAAAAACCAGTATCGGGGGAACAGTAAACCCCTCGACAAATTTGCTATGGGGGTAAAAAAAAAAATCAAACCTCTCGGGAAATTGGCCCCGAAAAGGGGCGAGATTTGCCCGGGAAAAATGCTGACACTGCAAATTTGTTTTTGAAGGGAAAAGGGGGCCCAGTTGGGGGACTGGGGGTTTTGGAGTTTTTTTTATAAGCTTGAATAATTTAAATTTGGGCTCTGAAAGGGGCAAATTTCCCACAGCCTTAAAAAAAAATCCCATTTTTGAATCCCCAAAAAAATAAGTCAACTATTCGCGATTTGGGCTAATTTTTTCCCCCGGGGGGAAAAGTAATTTTGAAAAAAAATCGGAAAAAATTAAAAAAGGGTCCAATTAAATCCCAATTGAAAACCTAAACCTCTATTGGGAATGCCCATTCCCCTAAATATAGCTAGCGTAAACTTTTAAATCGGGACAAAATGGGTTTAAATTAAAGAAATTTACAGTTTTTTTTTAGTTTTAGTCCCGTAAAAACCTTTTTTGAACTTGAAGGCTCTGAAGTTTGCAAAGGTGGCTTTGCGGAAAAAAAATAATTTAAATTTAAACAAAAAAAAAAACAAGACCAAAGGCCCCAATAAAGTCAAAGGCTACAAAAAACAAAGAAATTAAACACAAAGGGCCTTTAAAATTTTTAAATGGGATTAATTTAAAGCCAAAAATTTTTTTTAAATGGGCCCGGGGCGCAAGGGGCGAAAAACAAATACACCAAAAACCCCCGCTCGGGGGGGAAAAGGGGGGGAACCGCGGTTTCACATTCAGCTTTAAGCTTTTGAGGCATTTACAGTGATTTAGCTTAAATAAAATATAATAATACCTGGGGTTTTGCTACGCGCGATTAAACGTGGAAAGCCCTTTAGCGGAGGATAGGGGCGGGGCCCCAAAAAAATCCAAGGTGTTATTTGTTATAATTTTTCCCCCGGTTTCGAATGAAAGGGAAAGTGTAAGAGGTAGGGGATCAAACCGAAAAAAAATGCCCAAATGTTATTTTTTAAATTTGAAACCCCGCCACGTCGAGGGGACTCGCAATTTTTAACCAAAAATACCCCTTCCCGGTTTTCCTGCGGGAAAAAAACTGCCAAAATTTTCACTCTCAGGTTCCCCGGAAATTTTCGGGGGTTTTAAATTTCCCCGGGGGAAATATAAAATTCAATTTCGATTTTTGGGGCTTTTTTCTGCCGGGGAAAAAACTTTAAGGGGGACGACGCAAAAGAGAAGTGAACAAGTAGCGTTAAACAGGGGGAGGGGTTTTTTGACAAAATTTTTTAAAAAAAATATTTTAAAAAGTACAACCCCCTTACAAGATTCATTGAAACTCAAGGTTTTACAAAAAAGAAAAAAAAAATTTCTTATCGTGATAAGGGAAAACTGATTAATAAGAAAAGATGTCGTGGGGGTGCTGGAAAAAACTGAAAAAGACTGACGTTACAGCTAGCCACATTTTTATCGAAACCCAAAAAGCCCAAAGACCCCAAAATTCATGTATTTTTTCTTCTGTAAGTCACTGGAAAAGAAAAAAAAAGGGCCCGGGATCTTTAATTTAAACCCCCGGGCTTGATGAAAAATATCCAGAAATTATTAAATTAAAACAAAAATTTTAAACAAGGGGTAGTTTAAAAAACAACGCCCAAACTAATCTTTTTCCCAAAAAAAAAAAAAAATCAAAAACTTTATTTCAATTTTCCCCAATAAACCTTTTCATACGCTAAATTACGGAATAAACAGGGCAAAAATTTTTCCAAAAAAATTTTTCTTTTACATAAACTTTCAAAAATCAGCGAGAAAAATGCCCTTTTTGGGTTTTCCCTTTTCCTGGTAAATCCCCGGTATTTATGGCAAAAAAAAGGGGAAAAAAACGCGGGGCCGTCAAAAAAGGGCCCCCCCAAAACATGTCCCAACCCTTCTCCCCAAAAAAAGGGGGCCCCTTTTTGACAAAGGTTCAGGGATTGCAAACGTTTTTTATAAATTTTTGGGGGGAGATGACTCCTGGGGAAATTTTTAAACAAAATAGTGCGAAAATGTCGGGGGTGGAAAAAACATCTAGTTTTTTAAGGAAAAATTTTTGGGGCGGCCCCAAAAGGAAATTTTTAAAATAAGAACCGATACACTAAAAATTGTACAGAAATTTGACGTTTGGTTTTGGGGGCCCCGTTTTTTCCCTCCCGGCCCTTTTTTGTAATTTTTTGAAAGAAACAATCCCAAAATTTTTTTTTCGACGCTGAAAATCAAACTTTGCTTCCCCCGAAGGGCCCTAAGAGGCCTTTTTTTTCCTGCTTCATTCCCCCACCTAATTTTCCTCACCTGTCATTTTTAAAAACCCCCTTTGCTAAAAAAGCCCGGGTTTTTCTTTTTGAATCGAGGAAAAAAAATTTAAAAAATTGACGGGGGGGTAAAAATTTGATATGCCCGTATTTTGTTGTGCTCCAGAAGGGAAACAATAATTGAAGCGTTTTCCCTTGGGTCAATTTTAAAACAAGGGTTTTTATCAATTTCTCCCCGTTTTAATTATAAAAAAAAATGGAATCTGAATGGGAAAAATTTTTGGGGGCGAAACGCCGTTTTGCAAAAAAATTTGGGTAATTTAAGCCCTGGCCCCCGGAAAAATACAGGGGGGGCCCAAAAATCATGTGCAAACGTTGGGGGGTTTTAAAAGCTCAGTCACTGGTGCCCCAAATTTTTAATACTTCCCCCTGGTATGACTTTTGTACCACCAAATGGTTTTGAGGGAAAATTTTTCAATCGAAAAATATTCCCCGTTCCTTTTTTTCAAATGGAGGGTTTATTTTCAATTTATTTGATGTTTGGATGTCGGTCAACTAAAAAGTTTTTTGAAATTTTGTTTGGCCATTCCCAATTACGTTTGCCTGAAAGAATTTTGAACTTTTAGCTTCTCAGATTTACCGGAAAAAAGCATAAACGATTTATTCATAAAGGAAAGGGTTTAGGTGATTGGTTTTCCCCAAAACCCCGGGTAAGGTGACCCCCTTAAAACCCCGTTTTAAAAAATTTTGGAATTTTTTTTAAGGGGGCCCCAAATTTAAGGTTTTCGTGCCCCGGTTTTCCAAATCACCCATCCCAAATTTTTTTAACGAGATACACAAAATGGGGTTTTTAACTTCGTCAATTTTTAACCCAC